AAGAAAACAGCTTTTATCACTCCAGATGAAACATCTTCTAAAACACATGCCTTTTGGATTGTCCAATGCCCCTTATGTGTTTTGTCACATAAGATTTGTAAGGATAATCCTCATGTAGTCACATATTTAGATGACATAGTTGTTATTTTCAATCTTCATCAATTGAATAACTTAAGAAAAATACTAAATATTGTTAACAAAAAGGACAACTATTAAACCTAAAAAAATATAAGTTAGCACAAACATACGTTTAATATATACATCATCAGGCATCTATCTCTCTCTGTGAGGATTCTGACTTGAGGAATTGTGGGTTTATATTTAGTTCATTTATATTTAGTTTCACAGTTATGAAAGCAACTACTATATATACTATAATATTGCCTGCCATAAGTTCTGTTGCTTTTAGATCACCTAAAAGACTGGTAGAGGTCACATTTTTTTTGAAATCCCATGTCTTTTAGAAAATTGCAAGAATTCAAAAGTTTTTGGCATCTTCCTACATCTACAGTTATGAAGATAATTTTTCTTTTCTAAATGAAATGTATACATCAAAAACAGATCTTCAAATAGGTCATGTTCAAATTCTTGAAAATTAGTATTTTTGGGTAATTCCGATTCAAACATAGGCAATTTTTAAAATTTTAATTAAATTATTGATTAAAATTATTTCATCAGAAACAGCTCCAAATTTTTTCTTTTAATGTTTTCGTTTTATGTAGCAAAGCACAAGCAAAGGAGATAGTGGTGATGGCCCCTTTTCAGTGCACTCTGAATTTCTGAAAATCACAAAAAACTTCAGCATCGTAGATTTTATTTTTGGCGCTGTGTTTGACGTGTTGTCATTTTGCAAAACGGCAACTCAGTGGTTTCAAAATTCTTCTGATTCGTCCTATTGTTGTTGGTCATGATGATTGTTCAATATGCAAAACATTCTTGTGAAATAGATTGAAGGGAGGTAATAAATTTAACTTCAAACTAACAAACACTTTAAGAAGATTTAAGACGCTTAAACTTTAAAAAATTGAAAGCTTACTTCAATGTAATCAAGGCAGGGTTGTGTGAAATTATTCTTGCTTTTCTGTATTATGTGCTGCAAATAGTCAATCTATCAATAACAACTGAATTTATTTCTGAATTTCAAATGGATTTTTATTTTGATTCATTTGTTAAAGTAAGAAATTACTACTGTTCTTGACAATGGAAATAAATGCAGATATGCAGCAGAGGCTTTCGGTTGAATTTGTTGAGTTGGAATTTTTAAGTTAAAGCTGAGGTGTTAGTAGAGCAGAATTGCATTATTTCAATATTATGTTGCAATTTCCAATAGCGTGAGAAAGAATGGACTATTGAAGCAGTGCTAATTTGTTTTAGTTACAAGTTCACCTAGGCGTGGGCGTAGTTATAGGTGTAGGGATGTAGCGACCCCATCACCCTGCACGCCCTTACCAGGGGGTGGGGAATGCAACAATTAGCGTGGTTTCTCCTACCTAGAAAGTAGTGGCTGACCACTGTCCGTAGCTGTAAGATATCCTTCTTACCTAAAATCCATTCCTGAACTCCGGGAGCCAATGGGTGGATTGAGTAGCTCGGAGTCCGTTTTCTAACCTTAGGTGAATCCTTACCATTCCTTTTTTCCTGTTCAGAAGCAGAAGTGCTTCAAATAGGGGTAGATTGAACTCTGGAGTCTTGGAAGACACTCAATCTAAGGGAAGAAAACCCTAAAAGAAAATTACCTGGTCCTCCTGGAAGGGAGTTGAGACATGGGGCCAGCACCCCCATACTTGGAAAATATAAAAAGTCACTCAAACTCTCAATGGAAATGAGCCTCATATTAACTCATGACGTTGACAAAGGCAAGGAAAATGGTCTATGAATTTTGGATGCTGGAATGTTCAAGGTTTAAGCACTAAAGTAAATGAAGTTTTTTATGCAAAATAGAAGTTTAACATAGATATCATAGTGTTGAGTGAAACCAAAAAGAAGGGAAATGGAAAAGAAAGGAAAGTAAATTACAATCACTTCTTTAGTGGAGTGGGAAAAGAAAAGCAAGCTAGAGCAGGAGTGTCCATTGCTGTACATAAAAGATTGGAGAAAAATATTCATAGTTGGGAAGCAATTGATGAGAGATTAGCATGTCTCAATCTTGTACTAAGAGGACGCAATGTTTTTATTATAGGAATTATGCTCCAACAGACGATGCAAGTGTTGCAGAAAAATATATGTTTTAGAGAAACTGACTATGCTTCTGGATTCTACTGGAAATCGCAAAGAAGTGGTACTTCTAGGTGAAGAAGACTTGGAAAACGAATGGTGCATAATGTTGTGGATGACAATGGAGGAAGACTTATAAAGACATGTGAACTGTATGATCTTAAAATATTGAATGGCTATTTTCCACATAAAGAAATACATAAATTCACATGGACCCAGCCCACTAGAAAAGTGCAATCAATAATTGACTACATTATTACTAAACAACAGTCATCAATCGAAGTGGAGCAATGTTTGGGTTCAAAGAATGCTTCCTGTGAATCAGATCACTACTTACTAAATGGAAAAGCTAACCTTGAGTATAAACCTTACTTCAAAAGTTACGGAAACACAAAACCAAATACAAAAGGTGAAAAAATAGAGAGTCAGATATGATATTGAAAGCCTTCAAGATGATTCCATTGCATTTTTGTACCAATTGCGCAAGGCAGAAAAATTGAAGTACATCCCAATAGGAAAAACTGAAGACAAATACCAATTTTTAGAAAAATGCACTCATGAAGCTGCTTTGGGAGAGATGTGAAAATGTGAATATAAACAAAAGACGTGATGGACAGAAGATATAAAGATCCTGGTTCAAGAAAAGAAAACGTTATATTTGAGATGGCTTTCAACAAAGGATTTAGAAGACAGAAGTGAATATAACAAAATGAAATATTTGGTCAAGAAAGATGTGAAGAAGGCAAAAAATGTATTCTGGGAACAAAAATGTGACAGATTAGACAAGTGCATTGGTTGCAACACCAAATTCAGAGAGGCATGGAAAATGTTACATTCCATGAAATTGAATACAACCCAAGAATGGCATTTAGTAGACCCAATTGGTATTGATAAATGGCAAAAATACTATGAAAATCTTTTGACAGAAGATAGAACTAAATTTCAGGGAATAAATTATGAACCACTGCACGTAAATTCGATCACACCAGATGTGACTTTGGAAGAGGTAAAAAAAGTGTTAAGAAACATAAAAAATAATAAAGCACCACAATAATAGAGTACCGCACTCCATGGGGCAGAAGTCTGGACTCTACCAAAACATTTGAAAGACAAACTTCAATCAACAGAAATGATGTTCTAGCGTAGATGTTGTAAACTTTCTCTGTTAGACAAAATAAAAAATGATGAAATAAGAAATAAAATGAAAGTGCAAACAGCCTTGAATGAGACGATCGAAATGAAACAACTAAAATGGTATGAACATATGAACAAGAAGGTTGAAATTGGATACACTTGAGATCGGACAAAAAGTTTGGGAGTGGATACTGAATCAAAGAAGATACAGGGGAAGACCAAGAACATGGAACATGGCAATAACTGAAGCCATGGAAAGAAGAGAAATGGAGGAAAACGATATATGGGATAAAGAGGCATGGAAATTGGGATGAAGAAAACGGCCAAAAAAAAAAAAAAACCTATATAGATAGATAGAAGTTTTCCTAAACTGCACCTGAACATAAGCATTTGCTCATTTTTGGTGAATAAGCTGTATTTGTTAACTTATGTATAAATGCATAAAATTTATTATTAGTGTTGTTATTGTGATGGTTAAATGGCCCATAATACTCTTAACTTTTGTGAATGTAGTTCTACTCTACATCTTGTGTGGAAGTCACTACAAACAATAATGAATTTATAGTATGTCCTTAAATATCAGTTCACAATCATTTGGGAGAACAATATTGTTATAAAACAAATGTTGAGCAATAGTTTTCAAAATTTCAGAATAGTTGTGCCTTAATCAAAATATTCATAATTGCTTGAATATTATTTCATTACCTTAATGATCCTGTTGAAACAAAATATGCAAAGGAAAATCAAAACACATTGGGATTTTAATACTTTTATTATTTTATAAACATTTGTATAATCTTATAAATGTGATAATATAAGCTAAATAATTGCATATAAATAGGTGTATGTAATTAGAGAAAAGGTAACAATATCAACCAGAGATCTTCCTAAGGCTACTAGTATTTCCCAACATTAGAATACTTCATCACATCTTCATTGTTAAATGTCTCAAATAATTCTCTGTGCCATGCACTTTCTCAGTAATTTGAATTATTTCTTTAAAAAAAGCCAGACAGCAATAATGTTAGGATATTTTATCAAAATTTCTTCAATATCATTCTGAAATTTTATGATCTAAGGATTTATATTGGATATGATCCATTTCAGATTCTTCTTGAAGCAGTAAGAGAAAACATATTTGTTTACAATAATGCATTTTCTCTTTTAATCTGTCGTATGATGAAATAAATATAACATTTAGTACAATTAGTTGTTTTTATATTTTGAATTCAAAATAAATTATTCCTTCAAAGAATGGCATAGGAATGAAATGATTTCTTTGACTATTCCACTCATGAAATTAAAACCAAGTGTTTAACATACAAAATGCCCCAATTAGGGCGGTGTTTCTCAAAAAGTTTATTGCATTTTCTATCCGATTTTTCTGACCGCTTCTTCCTACTGGACAATCAAAAACTGTGAATATATCTTGAGAGGTAGTATTCTACATTGCTACATTGCTAGTATTCTACATTGCTATGTCAATGTCCAATAGACTGCATATGTATTTAAAAAAAAATTCTATAACATACCCTATGTGATTTTATCATAGCTTTCAGTTATTTTCAATATTTGATGCGTTTTGAAACTGCTGGACATAATTACACTCATGGAATAGTCCTATTAAATACCACTTGTGCTTAGGAAATTCTGTGATAAATTCCCTCCACCCTTCCTGAGTCGGGAATTTATCGACAATTTCCAAAGCACTATTGGCATTACCAATGATAATCATCCATCTATCTTTCTCATGAGGTAAACTATACCTCAAGTATTTGCTGTGACAAGTAGAATTATATAATTTTTAAGTCACATGTGTACATGTTACATGTAATAAAAATACTTTAAAGTTTCAGAGAGATGTATTTTTCAACAAAGAAATGCACTATTGTATTCAAACATGTTTTGTTTAAATGCACCTTTCATATTATCTTAAATTCCTTTACACAATCCCTATTGTAATAGCGATTGTATGTTTCCAGACCAAATTCATTTTAAAAGACTTATGATCTGATTAATGCAGAGAAAACCCTGATTCTAGTACTTGTATTTGGTATGGTGTGCTTTCTTTAGAGTGGCTAGTCAATACTAAGTTTTCTGAAGGAACCTTCCATTCCAAAGAGGTCATCATAGTTCTTGGGCTTTCCAGGGCGTCGACTCTCATCTGCCACTAACTTTTCTTGTTCTTTGAACCAAGGTGTGTATGATTCCATTTTTTTCACCCAAGCATCTGAAATAAAAACAACACTTAAAACCTGTTCTTTTTGTTCAAAACATGCAATTCAGAGCAAATCATGAAACTGCCAGTTTGTTATTAGCACTTTAAGAGGTTACTCTTGCAGATGTTATTCTAATTTCTACTTAATACTTTTAAAATTAAACATCTCAGCATATTAACACTGGTGGAAATTTTCTGTCTCGTATAAACTAGTTGTGCAACAGAATGGCACAAACTTTCCCGTATTTGTTTTCTATTTCCTTCGATCTCTGTTAACTATTCAAACTTGCTACATCTCTTGTCCGCTGCCATCTATCGCTGCCCAAAGCATATTTTTTGAAATTTTATTAATTTTTCGTTTTCCTAGTTGCAGAACGAAAATATTCTTTCAAGAATATGAAGAACAGTAAAACCTCGTTCTAAATGGCAAACAAACAATTTTTCGGTAGTATCAAGGGACCCCAAAATGTGTATTTCCTTTGAAATCTCGAAATGTTTTTTCCGCAGCTTTAAATACGAGTAACTTTCCTATTCTACGTATATTACTCCGTATTTTAATACGTATACGGGAAAGTAAAACAGTCTCGCACAATTCTATTTGATCAACTGTTTTTGTTTTCACTCATCTTCGTGTAATAAATATTCAATCAGTTCTTCATTTGTAATATTTTTCAGACAGAACTTGTACTACTCACGTGTTTATTCACTTTCGTTTACAGAAACTATCAAATCATTAGAGTATGGTTAATATCTAATTAACTTTACCCAGACATGTAACAACCTTGAATTAACAACGATGATTAATATTAAGCTTACTACTATTTCTATTTAAAAAATGTGATTTTTTGTTTTCCCTAGTACTTATAGTATATATTTGCTTATGGGAACATTTAATTAAAACAAACCTTATTGATTCAGCATAAAAGTGCTAAGAGATAAATTTGGTAAATGAAACTAACACCCACCCGCTGGCTACCACCTCTGCCGGGACGAACTCTAAGCTCTGGTCTCCCGACACGTGTGGAAGTGTAGGACTTGTATGAATAAGTAAGGTGTGAAGATAGGGCAAGGAAGAGAAAGGAAAGATGGCGCGCGGTGCGTGGCTTGTTTGTGCATTCCCCCGGCGTTGATCGCAGAAACACGGAAAACTCGGTGCAGCCGACCGCTAGAATTCTCCTCCAGACAGCGGCTGAATGCGACCTCATTATCTAATGTCGAAAATATTGTCGCCGTCGATACTCGAAGGATATGACCTGGTCAGAGGCACTGCACTGACATCTATTGACGCCCTGAGCCACCTCAGCCGAGATTTAAATTGGAGCTGCGCACTTGTCACAATTTCGAAAATGTTCTGTGGCTTCATCTACAGTGTTTCCAAAAGTTAAAAGATCCGTTTCAAATTTGCTGCAGCACGAGAGCGGGCAAACTTATCGGGGAAAATACATTTTAGAGAACAGCATGAGAACGGTTTAGGCGAAACTGCTGTCCACGACCGGTTGGACGGACAAATGTTTCTGAGAAAAAAAAAACGTTTACGTTATCAAGGACCCTCGCGTGGATCCTAACTACATCACGTATTCCAGAAGGTAATTTGAAATGTCTACTTTTTGGTATCAGGAACCTCCAAAATGAGTTTTTTTGTCGTTAAAAAAATTGAATTTTTCCTTAAGAATATATTACCCAACGTATACGATGAAAATTAAAAAGTTTTAATTTGTGTCGTCATTGACACAACACTTCTTTTGAAACCTTGTTGGGCGTTGAGCACTTACCATGGAATATTCCTTCATTAAATTTTGTATTATCTTGTAACATCATCGTCAGTCCGTGCCTTTTATTCCTTCGCTCAGGGGCTCGGCGCTGTTTGATCCCGGGGTTCCCAGACGGTCACCCAACCAGGCTCTCGCGAGTTTCGAATTCGCTTAACCTCCGTCACTTTAGTATAGTAAACGAATTCGGCTAGCAACGCCGGCATTTATGAGTAATTTTTGAAAAATAAAAATATGTAACCTATATGGAATGGGTCGTATACGGAATCGTGCTGAAACATAAAAAGTCGGTAGGTTTCTCAGAAAAAAACTGTTTAAAAAACCTGAGTTACTACGTATCGCCGATTGCGATGCCCGCGTGTTTTGTGGTGTTTCACTTTTGCAAATGTTTTGCTTCCCTTTATTTTGTGATCTTCGGATTCTTCTTGGATGTGTGGACATGGTATTGACTCCTTTTCGATCGCTTTAACATCACTGAAGTTGCTTCGAAAGATATTTTGTTCTCACGTGGCTTCTAACCTCAATCTGCTCGCATTGTCTTTGCCAACCTATCTATATTGAAGTCTATTTATTCGAGGTCTGTTTCTGTCTGTGTACATCGCCTATTGCATCTTCTGGATCTATTTTTCTGCAATCCTGCTAATAACCGACTGGACTGCAGATGTTTTTGTGACATTTGCGTGTTATGTGTTGATGTGTATATTGGTGATTTTAGTCGCGTACTAATCCGTGTCGTCATTGGATACTATCGAACTTGAGGATTGCTTACTGTGCACTAGCAGAACTACCAACCGTCAGAGACCATTTTCACTTTTAGACATTGCGATAATGAGCGCCTCCGCATCAAATGATAGACGGGAGACAACTCATTTACTGAGGGTACGTCTAGACCACCCACAAAAGTTTGCTATTACTGCAAATAAAGATCTCTCCCCTTGATCTTAAATTGCATATTATGTAAATTAGTATCCTGTCTGCAAAGCTCCTTTCCATCTCAGCTGTTTCAATCGAACGAAGAGTTTACCTGGTCTTTCTAGTTGTTCTTTGATTACCAAAAACATATTAGTCACAGCCCTGGCCATTGCTCACAATAATTATACTTCTTTTAAAAATGAACACTTTGAACTTTTTTAACAACATATCTGAAGAAATTAATACCAAGATAATGACTTCAACGTTTTTGCATTGGAAAATATAAATACTACACAAGCCAAACCTTCTCCCGCGCCTAATTCCATTACCAATGAGATTGAAGCTCGTAGAAGCCGTTCTGTTAACATTATTTTTCTCGCTACTGCTTACGCAGTAGAGAGAAAGTTATGTAATGCGGCGAGGGAACAGGCGAATTTTCGACAGGAAAAATCTTATTGCTGGGCTTTTGCAACGAAAAACTGAATAACTCGAGTTATGAAATTATAAAAGAAAACTAACACGTGGGGTTGCCTAAATCCATGTTTTACGGGTCCTTGATATGGAAAAATCGATTGACAACAAAAGGCCTGTCCGTCCGTGTGACTGTGAACAACGCTAGCAGCTAAACCGTTCTGCCGATTTTTTTCGAAATTGATATTCCCCAATCGATCTCTTTGAAGTCACAGCCCTTTGAGTTTGAAACTGATATTTTAATTAAGGAGGGAACGTTACATGAAACTCCTGAGGCATTTTCATTGTGATTACGGTTGTATAATTTATCTTAATGGCATAGACTGGAACTTTTACTTCGACAAAAACACGACATTCATTTTAATGTATCGTGTATTTTTATGCCTTTTTATAGACTTTATTCGTCTCATTGTTGCGAAGAAACCGGACTTTGTCAGTTGTCCGCCATGGTACTCTTAGGAGCCTCTTGGCTCTATCAGAGAAAAACCTTTTACAAACTGTACAAACAAATTAATAGATCAATTTTATGCCTTGTGATCCATAGCATCTCATTTACAGCGTGTTCTTTTCCACTCTTATGTACATAAAATTGAGCTATCGCTTTCTATCGACCGTAAATCTTCTTGAAAGTTTATTAATACGTCTACTAGGCTGACTCAGATACCTAGTGATATGCATCTGGGTGCGAATGGCTGCAGTTCTAATTCGGAAATTGCCACCTTATTTCCTACTCGTTTTTTAAATTAAATGTACCACACACGATTTAAACATTACAACTACTACTGCACACTTTCAACATCATTTTTACAATCAACAATATCAAAATCACGTTCTCTGAATTTTTTCTTGCTATTTGTACTCTGGCAAGAGAGCTGGCCCAGATGAGCTCTCAGTAGTTTTTGAGAAATTGCAAATTTGTTCTCGAACCACTAGATTATACGTTTGGACCATCCTTGGACCTGGGAATTTTCCCAAAAGCTTGGAAATAAACTAAAGTTGCCATCTTCAAGAAAGGAGACAAAAGTGATATTTCAAATTAGTGTCCTATTTCCATTCTCCACGCTGTCCTAACATGTTTCGAGAAACATGTGGTTAATGCTTTGGCACCATACGTTTTCATAACTATTTCAGATTATCAACATGGTTTCGACTAATAACAGTACAGAAGACTAACAATATATTTACTACAACTGATCTAGCTATATTTAAAATTTATGGTATTAAAACGTTTGAATCAGGTTTGCAAGTAGATCGATATACACGGATTTTGCTAAGGCTGTCGACTGTGTTAAAAATGACATACTGATTGACAAATTGTCATATTTAGGCATCAATAATGCACCTCTATAACGGATGCGTTCTAATCTTTTCGGCACGAGTCAGTATGTTGTGGTTGTGTTCGAGCCATTTGTAGTTAGTTCTGGTATACCTCAAGGCTCTCATTTGGATTCCATTTCGTTCCATATTTTCATTAATGATAAGTGGTGCTGGTAGCACAGAACGAAGTCATTTCGCGCTCGTCTTGTCACACTCGCATTTCAGCAAGGAGGTCCGGACTCGATTCCCGTCGATAACCTTTCCCTCTCGTGATGTGGTCTGCCTGTTCGAAAGGAGAGTTAAGGGCAATCAATGCACCGTGCGCGCCACCTTTTTCTCCAAACTCTGAACGGCTTCCAAGCGACGCTAGGGGCCCGTCGGTCAAAAGTATGTGTTTGTGTACACAGCCGTAATGGATACATGAACCTCAGTGATGTTAAAGAGTTCATTTTATGCATTTGCTGCCAAACTGGGTACCCAAGGGTGGTGATAGAACTGAGGGCGGGGGACATGATGATATGATGATGAAGATGATTATGGAAAGGAGGAATACAGCTCACTCTAGGAGGAATGTTGATGAAAAATAACTTAATTTGGCTTTGAGTAGACATCGATATTCTGTTTTATCGTACAAAAAGCTGGGATACTTACTGTGCATTGCTTCAATGGGACCCGCAGATCCACCATATTCATTAGGAAGAATATCCTTTGGAATATCCTTGTAAAGTGCTTCTAGATTGCTACCATGGAAATGAATCTGCAAGCAATTGGTATCAATTAATTAAAATAAAAAATAATACAAAATAATGTAACTATCTAGTTAAATAATTTTCCTCAAAGAAGAAAAATAAGGAAGAGAAATACATTATTCTTCTTATCAACTTTAATACTCGAACCTGCCTTGAGGTACAAATTATAATTAGTCTTTACGAAATGAAAAGAAGACAAAGAAAACCAAACGTACCCGCTGACGAATTTTCTCTTTCAAGAAAGGCTTGACGAAGTTGTAAATGGTGTCCACGAGAGGGTGAGTGTTGATCACGTGCACTTCTTTCAGCTTCACAGGATACGCGTCCTGCAACGAAGCATTCGTTACTTTACAAAGTGGTCCACTTGGATTGTTTTGGTGTTTGATAGCAGAGGATTGCTTCCTACATGGCCAAAAACATGATCTCTGCTGGGTCTTATATTCATTAAATTAAAGTGAAGTCATTGGAAGAACGTATTCATTATTTTCATGATGTTAAGATTAACCTTCAGGATGTATTGTGCCTTCAGGATGTGTTTCAGGATGTATGCTTGCATCCATGGCACATGCGCATGCATCCATGACAGCTCCATAATACATAACACATCCATCTACCCATGACACATCCATCCATACATCCATGACACATTCATGCATCCATGGCACATACATGCATCCATCCATGACAGGTACATACATACATACATGACACATCCATCTACGCATGACCCATCCATCCATACATACATGCATCCATCCATCCATCCATACATACATACATACATGCATCCATGACAGATGTATACATGACACGAGCAGGCATGCACACGTACAATAGTTCTAGAGAGAAAATGGTCTGGAGAAATAAATGTTTATTTTTGCAAAACAGGACTTTTCCTACTTTTCAATATAATCCTCCCCATTATGCACTTGTCCTCGCGGATTACCAGCTTTTTTATATCCGCTGCAAAGATCTATTTATCTTGATGTTTGAATCAATTTCCCACATAAGTTTTGACATGCTCGTCATCCTGGAACTTCTTCCCAGGTAAAGCCTCCTTCAGTGGACCAAACCAATGTAAATCAGTACTTCCCTTCCCTTTTGTTGACGGTTTCAGGGGTTTGTTGAGCAGTTTGAGGACGTGCCAGCAAGACAACTCTTGCTGGAGAATCACACCTCTCCTCTGAAATACATGACTTCCCTTTCTCTTTCATGGCTGGCTTAACCTTGTTCAAAAGCATATCTGAGTAGTATTGGCTACTTATTATATGCTGTTCTTTGAGATAATCACCAAAAACGCATCTACACCGTCAACAGGACGTTTCCTGCTGATGCAGCCAGAACAATTTTCGTAAATCACCGAGTCTCGACCACTTTTGAACTGATATACGTACTTGTGAAAAATTCCCGCCATTTATGCAACTTTCATCATACCCTTTAGTCATTCTAGAGTATATATTAGCTAGTTTTGCACCTTCAGCAAATAAAAAAGAATTAACCAATGTGGAATTTTCATGTTGATTCGCCGTACGACGTAATTTTGAGGTTATGAACAGGAATGATCTGCAGATAGCCAGGGCTCGTCCCAGTGATGCCAACTTAAAATCCTAAAATTACCAACCTTGTTCTACCAACTGGTTTTTCTCCAGACCAAATCGCGTGTTAAGAATTGCACAGCGTTGAGGCGCACCTGCACGCAGACGAGGAACTTCTTGACGATGGCCGGGGTGAACTTGGCGAAGTAGGCCGGCGTGGCGACGGCGGCGTCCAGGATGTACACGTCGCCCGCCACGCCCGTCTGCTCCTCGTGCAGGCGGATGTCGCCGATCATGAGCAGCAGCTTCATGCCGTCGGCCACGTGCGGCGTCAGGTAGTCCTTCACCTTGCCGTGCAGCAGCGTGACGCGGCGGCCGTTGGGGGTCAGCCCGGGCAGCGTCGGGATGCACCTGCGCTCAGCCAGGCCACGCCCACTGTCAGCCCTCTCCCTCTCCCTCGCTCAAAATTCACCTCAATCATTAAACTGTCATCTCATGTATCCTCTGAAGTAGAAGGAGAAGCCCTGACAAAAATATGCTTCTCTCTGGATTTGCTAGACGCATTAGGTGCTGCAGTAGGACTACGCGTACAAATTGAAAGAAGAAAAAAGATAAAAAAATCTGATCTCTTGCCTCCTCCTCCTCACCATTTCAAGTTTTAAATATAGAATGTATTAATATTGTTAAATTTTATGTAGTTGCTAATAGAATTGATATGTATTGTTTTATTATAATAATAATTACTTTTATTATTATTAATATTATTTTTATTAATATTATTTTATTCTTATTCTTATAAGTAGTGCCATTAAAAAAACAATAACACCTTGAAATGTCACATTATCTGCTACTAAAAATAATTATCTACTGCATAATATCCTAATCTATCTGTAACAAGTATTGTAGTATAATTTCTATGCTAATGACTACATTTCGATCAGGTTTTGTTCAGTTTCCCTGGTCGCTTGAGCAAATGCTGAGATGGCCCCTTCTTTGCTCCTGAACAGTAATGTAACTTCACTCTTTCCACCCAAGACATCGTATTGACCCGTCATACACGATTGTAATTGTATTTGTAACTCAATAAATATTATTATGTAACTTCACCAGAGTTCATTTTTGCAATGCAAAAACAGCTGCGCTTTGCATTTTTTATATAAACTCATTTAAAAATTTTTGCAAATCGATTTTGTCGGCACGTCGCTATAAAAATGTACGATAGCGATAATGTATAACCGATCTTGCAACATAGTTGAGGGTTTAAGTCTACACAATAACGAGATACATCGTTCATTTCTTGAATTTCACGTTTATGGATTATTTCTCTGACCCAAAGTATTTCGGTTTCGGTAACGGTATTTCATCCACTTGGAATTTTTCTTGTGGGTATAGCTACTAACTAAACCCACATTATCCGCCGGGTCAGTTCGCATTGAGCCAAATGTTTAAGGTTAAGAATGAAATGCTACAAATGTTATTTTCAGCGCAATTAATGATTTTAATATTCAATGAATCTTGACCACTTGTAATTATATATTGAGTGATTCATGAGTTTGGGTACAATGAAAATAAAATCTCTTTAGATTGCTGTCGTTTCGGCCATTTATTTGGCCTTCATCGGTGCTACAAAACAAATAAAACATATGAAATATATATGTAGTGAACCATTTCCTCATAGATCAAAAACAATTTTTTGTTAACAATTAATATTATATCTATTTTGTAGCCCTGAGTAATGCCAAATAAGTGGCCGAAACGTCGGCAATGTAGTTTGTTTTCTTTTCATTGGACCCAAAATCAAGTACTACTAGACATTTAAAGATTTTAATGTATATTTCTCAACAATTGGGAGACAATGTAAATAGTATACAGAGGAGTAGTACTTAATAAACAATGATTTGAAATTAATTGTTATTATTTTATTATTATTTACTTTCTATAAATAGCGTATACCTCATTTTCGTTGAACTCTGTGACTTTTCGAACATTGAAAATTGATAAAGAATGCAAGAAAGTATGTGCTGTCGTTGCACCACTAATTTCTTCAAACTTTTGGTACGGATAGAGTGCATTGGAAAATATTTTTAAAAAAACGCTTTGACTTACTTTGTTAAAAAATACACAAATGCATTTTTCTTGTATATCTTTCACGTCGTTAATATTTATACTAGAGACTTTTCTTATGATACATTATAGACTATGTGAGCAAATGTGCTTCAAAATATTTTTGTGGAGGTCTTTCGAAAACTCAAAACTTGAAACGTGAAATTAGGTTAATATTGCGCATTGTCAGAAAGGATTAAACGACAATTTCTAAGAAACGACTCAAAATGTTTGAACGACGATTTGCATAAATGACCGTGTTTTACTCTTCCATAATATTCTTAGAGACATATTTCAATCCTATTAGGAGACCGGGAAATTCAGAAAATGTGAAAAAGTGTATTTTAGGCGCCGAGACATGGTAGTTGCGGCAAAACCGAAAGATAATCCCAGACACAAGAAAATAGGAAACTAACTAGCGCGAGAAAGTCTGTGCCAATCTGAAGCGCCAATAGTTTATTTAAAAGAAAAATAATTAGGGTCCAAATGAAGTCGGTGCTTGCGCCCTCTGCTTCCTCTCCTGGTTTAGCGTCGCAATCGTCAGCAATGCTAGGTCAGCCATGGGTCAGCTGACCTCCAGACAACTCTTATTCAGAAAGAAATTCATTTCTGAAGACCAACTTTTATTATTTCTGTTTAGTACATCCAGCACCTACCGATATATTTATAAACTATCCACAGCTTCACTTCTATACTAGCTATCGTGGATAAGCTAAGCAGGTCTTCATACTTCGAACTCTCAAGGCTTTCAGGTTATTTAATTTTCATTCTGCAACAACTTCTTTTGATAGGCTAACTACTACGTTTACACTGAGCGCTCCCGACAACTATTCTCGGCGATTATGAACATTTCTGGGCCACATCCAACACCTCGCAGTTCACCAGTAGGTCGAGACCAACGAGCAAGAATATACTACTTAGACTGTCTGGAGCTCTCCATCTTTGCAGAAATGGAAGCCATGTTTTTGCAGTTAAAACACTCTGGAGGAACAGGTATTCCGTTTGGCGATGGTTATGAACGGGTGGGCGCGGGCCGCACGTTATACAAATCCTGTGTTACACGACCAAAAACCAATCATTTAAAAACGAAATCACAACCTGTAAGGAGAACTGAGAATTGAGAAACTTTAAAAACACTTTACTTCCTGTATCAGAGTCATAAGAATGGAAGCTGTTGAAACGTTATTGTAATTAGCATAACGCCTGGAAGTAAATGCTATTGCAATAACAGTAAGTAAACAAATAAGGCAGCAAACTTGAAAAAATGATATATTTGTGGTTTAATGACTTCTATTTTAACAGTTATAGGCCGAAAATACTGAATGCATTGTGAATATTATTATTTTAGCCACAAATATAATTCACATACACATAAACGAAAAGACAACATAGAAATGAGATTTGAAACAAACAACTCGTCGAATCAGTGCAACAGTTCCACACGTCACCATTAGGCACTTCGCATGTTTTGTCTGCAAAAAACATGGCGGCCCCTAGTTGGTCGAGCGTCCACTGACAACGCTGAAACCATTGGGTCAGCCACTCTTATGAAGAATATTTTAGCTGGATGGTCGCGACTCACACTTGGGAATTCCCGATTTCTGGCTCGTTCAAATATGCTTCATTCGAGTATTTGTCTCGTCATTCTACTTAATTGTTCCACCCTAATGAGTTCAAAGAATTTGCTTTTCCACCTAAATCATTCCTGGGACTATCTCGATTTCTGACACGTTTCCAATAACATGCATTTTTCTTTACCACAAAATTCTGTGAACGATGCGTTCGTGAGTGATCTCAAATGTTGAGTGAAACAAATTGACTGCACGTCTTTGGTTTTTGGAAGTCTTTTTATAATATAAATGTTTCAGAGCGCCAAAACTTATCAAAGAAGATCTACGTAATAGTGCTAGAGTTGCATAGACTTTCTCGTCTATATCATTCCTAATTTCGGCCTTCGTCATTCCTAATTTATTTGGTCAGGGCTAGCATTTCGGTTCTTGCTCAATCCAATTTCCAGCTGCCTCCTATCGTCACCCAAATTACATTTTTATATATTTGCTCAATTTTTCGTTTCCCTAATGGTAGAATTGAAAATTGACTTTAAGCATATTATTCAAGAGTAACTCCTCGTCCTATATGGACATTTTCGCTGAAAACGTTTTAGCCGTTATTGCTAGAATGTTTTTGAAAATTCACATTTTGAAGCTCTTTTTCACCCAAAACAGTTGCGTTTTCGAGAAAACTCATTAAAAACAATTTCAATCAATATTATTCTCATAAATGCATAATTGCTGGTAATGTAAATATTAATGGCGTGAAAGATATACAGAAATACATGTACATCCTTTTTGTATACCAATTATGAACGTAATTATAAATATCAGTATTGCATGAAAAGATGTTCCCACCGTTAAGTAAGTCAGTTGTGACAAAAATTACAGATTCGTAAATAAATAGACAAGGCAATGGTAAGATTCCAAAGTCAACGAAGAGAGGCTTGTGAGGATCACGTGAATGACATTTTTTCATTATTCGAATAATTTTCTTTTGCAATCTAAACACATGGGTACTACATGATGAGCTTCCCAGAATATTATACCAAATCTCAGGCGGGAATGCATATTTGCAAAATACACGCAACGAGCTTCACGAAGGCGACATGAATTGAAAGAATTCTAAATGCTTAACATAATGAACTTAATTTAGTGTTTATTTCTGTTGTAGGAACATTCCATTTGAGGTTTGACTGAATTCAGAGACCTAAAATTCTATTACCTTTACAACAGCTAATTGCGTATTGTTCATTTTCAATGGAGCATGCGGTTGTCGATTTGAAATGTAAAAATGTATTGAAATCTTTTTTTGCTTTAATTATCAATTTGTTATAAGGAAACCAATTTAAAACTTCTGAAATTGTACAATTTGTTTGCGAAAATCATTCATGTCATCGGTAAACAAATTTTCTTCCATTTTTAATAGACTGGCGTACCAAGGGTTTCGTAATTATTTAAACCATAAAATTGTATAGTATCATATGTACGGTGAATAAATAACATACACTATAACAACAAATATGTTTATTATTTTAAAAAAATCTACGATGGGCCCCTCCAAAACAATCAGCTGATCAGCCCTATCGTTTCCGTATGACAGAAAGAGGAGCCCTATGCTCAGCTGGCAAAGAATTAGAAGAAAAGTGAACGACAGTAGCAGCACTCACACGCGCTCGAGGATCTCCTTGAGCTCGGGGCGCGTGACGTCGCGGTTGGTGAAGAACTCGGGCGCGGCGGCGCGCATCGTGAAGTACATGTCGAGCTTGCGCTTCGTCTTCTCCAGCGAGAACTTGCAGCCGCGCAGGAACGTCATCAGGCGCTGGTCATCTGCGCACGCACGCGCGCAAAACAAAAAAAAATTAAATTGACAGAGACCTAGTATGTTAATTCGTAATTAAAATTTAACTTAAAACAGTTAAATGTGCATCCCCGTGTGCGAAATACGAGGAAAGATGAAGGTTATCATCTCTCAACGACACATCGAAAACGTAAGAATATCGAGCAGAAATCATCGATGTTCAAAAATCATCTGCTTGAATACATCATGTTTAAAACCTGTATTTTTGTAAAGAAGCATCGTCACCGATGTCGCATCCCTGTTCCCGACATGCCGCACCGCTTCAATGCTTGAGGGGGGGGGGCAACAGCTATAGTTCGAATAAAACTTCTGACTACTTAACAGTTAGAGGCCGACTGGGGAGAGGAGGTTCTGTTTTCCAATCAGAGCGATCAAATTTTGCTGACGTCACTACAGATTTGCCGATACTTATTCAGGAAAAAATAATGAAATCTTACAGCGCACTGCATCTGCAAATTGTGGAGCGTGAATTCTCCTTTGGTTATGCATCGTGTGTGCGATTCTGAGTAGTATTTGTACTGTTGTGGACTCTACTGGCCACTGTTGTCATCTGATAAACGAACGAGAGTCTGCCGTCCGAGAGAGTGGTAACATCGTTTTCTCCCCACCCCAGCAGTCAATCAGACAAATATCATTCGGACAATAAGGTCGTTTCTCCCGTGCGGTTTCATAACGAGAGGTGGCGGTGTTCTTCCCCCGCTGGCGACGGCCCACACATAGGCCTTTCCCCATCCAGGTATCTCCTACCAATAAAGTACCGCCTCAGTCGGGACATGCTTTAAACTCTCGACAAATGTAGGGGAGTAATGCTTATAATTGTGTGTGTGTGTGTGTGTGCGTGTGAGGGAGAGAGGGGTAGGACGAGAGAGGGGGTAGCGCGTACGAGAGAGAGGGAGTAGCGAGAGAGAGAGTGGGGCAGAGAGAGGGGGGCAGAGAGAGGGGGTAGCGAGAGAGAGAGGGGTAGCGAGAGAGAGAGAGAGAGAGGTACCCCCTCTCCTCTCTCGCTACCCCCTCTCTCCTCGCTACCCAGCTTCTACTCTCTCTTCTCATCATCGCAACCCCCTCTCTCTTTCTCGCTACCTCCCTCTCTCTCTCTCGGCTACCTCCCTCTTCTCTTCTCTCTCGCTACCTCCCGTCTCCTCTCGCTACCTCCCTCTCTCTTCGCTACCTCCCTCTCTCTCTCGCACCCTCTTACTCTCATCATTCTCTCTCCGCTACCCACCTCTACTCTTTCTCGCGACCCCCTCTCTCTGTCTCGCTACCCCTCTCTCTCTCTCCTACCCCTCTCTCTCTCTCGCTACCCCCTCTCTTCTGCCCCCCTCTCTCTGCCCCACTCTCTCTCTGCCCCACTCTCTCTCTCGCTACTCCCTCCTCTCTCGCACGGCGCTACCCCCTCTCTTCGTCCTACCCTCTCTCCCCTCACACGCACAAACACACCATAACCACAACACACAATTTAAGCATTACCCCTAACATTTTCGAAGTTATAAGATGCTCCGACGAGGCGGGTACTTTTTGGTAGGAGATACCTGGATGGGAAAGGCTATGTGTGGGCCGTGCAGCGGGGGAAGAACACCGACCTCTCGTATGAACCGCACGTGGAGAAACGAACTATTTGTCGAATGATATTTGTCTGATTGACTGCTGGGGTGGGAGAAAGATGTTAACTCTCTGGACAGGAGACTCTCGTTCGTTTATTAGATGACAAGTGGCAGTAGAGCCACAACAGTACAAATACTACTCAGAATCGACACCGCGATGCATACAAGGAGGATTCACGCTCAAATTTAGCGATGCAGGCGCCTGTAAGATTTCATTATTTTTTCTGAATAAGTATCGGCAATCTGTAGTGACGTCAAGCAAAATTTGATCGGCTCTGTGGAAAACAGAAACTCCTCTCGCCAGTCGGCCGTAACTGTTAAGTAGTCAGAGTTTTATTCGAACCTATAGCTGTTGCCCCCCCCCCCTCAAGCATGGAAGCGGGTGGGCAATGTCGGGAAAGGGTGACATCGGGTGACGATGCTTCTTTAAAAATCAGGTTTTAATGCATGATGTATTCAAGCAATGTTTTTGGAACATCGATGTTTCTGCTGATTTCTTACGTTTCGATTGTTTCGTTGAAGAGATGACAACCCTTCATTTTCCTGTATTCGACACGGGGATGCCATTTAAACTGTTTTAAGTTAAATTTTAATTAGACATTAACCTACTAGCGTTTGTCAATTTAAATTTTTTTGTTTTTGCCCCGCGTGCGTGCGCAGCAAGCAGCGCCTGATGACGTTCCTGCGCGGGCTGCAGGTTCGCTGGAGAAGACAGAAGCGCAAGCTGACATGTACTTCAGATGCGCCGCCGCGCGGCAGTGTCTTCACAACGCGAGTCACGCGCCCCGAGTCAGGAGATTCGAGCGCGTGTGAGTGCTGTACGTCGTTCACTTTTCTTCTAAATTCTTTGCCAGCTGAGCATAGGGCTTCCTCTTTCTGTCATACGAAACGATAGGGTGAATCAGCCGATTGTTTGGAGGGTGCCCATCGTAATTTTTTAAAATAATAAACACATATTTGTTGTTATAGTGTATGTTATTGTATTCACCGGTAATATGCATACTATAAATTTTATTGGTTTAAATAATTACGAAACCTTGGTTGCCAGTCTATTAAAATGCGAGAAATTTGTTTACCGATGACATGAATGATTTTCGCAAAACAAATTGTCATTTCAGAAGTTTTAAATTGGTTCCCTTATAACAAATTGATTAATTAATAGCAAAAAAATTTAATCATTTAACATTTTCAAATCGAGAACCGCATGCTGCATTTGAAATGAACAATATGCAATTAGTTGTTGCTAAAGTAATAGAATTTTTAGGTCTCTGAATTCAGTCAAACCTAAATGGAATGGTCTCTACAACAGAAATAAAATAATTAAGTTCATTATGTTAACATTTAGAATTCTTTAATTCCTGTGCTTCGTGGCAGCTGTTGCGTGTTATTTTGCAAGATAGCATTCGCTGAGATTTTGGTATAATATTTGGAAGCTCATCATGTAGTACCATGTGGTTTAGATTGCAAAAGAAAAGTTATTCGAATAATGAAAATGTCATTCAACGTGATCTCACAAGCCCTCTCTTGTTGACTTTGTAATCTTACCACCCCCCCCCCCCCCCAACCTTGGCTTTGTCTATTTATTATCGAATCTTGTAATTTTTTGTCAACAACTTGACTTACTTAACGTGTGTGTAACATTCTTTTATGCAATACTGATATTTAATAATTAGCGTTCATAATTTGTATACAAAGAATTATTCTTACATTTATTTCTGTTAATATCTTTCACTCCATGTTAATATTTTACATTCTGCTTAAGCTGCGCGATGAACAGTGCGCCACAAAGAAACAAAGACGTGAAGAAGAAGTGGCCAGGTGATTGTCAAGAGGTCCAGACGGAGAGCAGAGACAAAAAGCGTATGAGTACAGAAAATAAGGAAACGCAACCTCGAAAACGAAAAGCGGGGTGAGCGAGACAACGCGACACGCGGACAAGATGTACTGACTAATGCGGCAGGGGAGGCGAGTCAGAATTAGTGGGAAAACAGTGGTGAGTAAATGCGGAAAAGTAGGCACGGCGGCAGGAACAAAATGGATGGAAGGGTCAGTACTGAAGACCGAGGCGGAGTCGTGAGCGGGAAAACAAGACCCGGAACCGGACGGGCCAAAAGAAGGGAGAAGGCAAAAAGGAGAGGAATGAGAAGGGATGTGGCTAGGACACACGGTAGAAAGGGCGGGTGTACATAGAGGGCCACGGGGAAACGGCAGGCCGCAAAACAGCATCGAGACTGTTGCGGCAGCGGGGTGTGTGTGGAAGGTGAAAGAAAAATGAGTGGTGTGTGGCAGGCAAACAGAAGGGTCCTAACAACCGGCAAGAGGGTGCACCTCCGCTAAGTTGCCTGGACACCCCGCTAACCAAGGGAAGAAAACCGGTCAAGCACGAACTGGTCGGACAGCGGGCCGAGGAACGTAAAACAAAGGCCGCAGGACCTGGGGTGGGGCCAAGAACTCGTGACAAGGAAACCAAAACAAGGCCCGGCGGGCGAAAGGGCGGGCGACAAGGAGCTAGAAAAAGAATAAAACTCGAGAAATGTGGTGAGTGATCTATTCACGCAGCGGAGGTTGGAAAGAATGACGCGCAGGTGTTCAGTAGCTCGGACCGAAGGGCCAAATTAATATTGTAGCTGAACATACGTCAATTACCGAGCAAAGGTTAGTGCGATTGATGGGAAGTGGTCCACGTGAATGGGAATTATAGTCAGCCTGAAAAGATCAGATTGGGAATTAGTGATTGAATTGTTGTGTAT